ATTCTGTAATTTTTTAAAAGTTTTTTAAAAAAATATTTCATTTTATTAGTTTTTTAAAAAATTTTGGAAATTTTTTATTTTATTTTATTTTTTACTTATTTTCTAGACGTGGCAGGATGTGATGATTTGGTAAAATCTGTATGACGTGGCATGTCACGTCATCATCAAAATTGACGAAACTTAAAGTCGTTTACGGGAATGGGGGAAGTTGCACCACATTTTAAGATTTTGTGTGGGAATTTGGAAATATTTGAAATCCGGTGTAATTTTATATCAAATTAAAAATTGGTATAGAAAATTGAAACTTTTTCGAAAATTTGTGGGGGAATATGGGATTAACCCCAATGTTTATATACAAGCTTTTGAATTTTATTTAGATTAAGTTTGGTTTCTAATTTATCAAAAATATTTTTAAGATTTCATATTTAATTCGCTCCGATTTAGATTCACTTTAGAAAAAAAAATCATATTAAAACATTTTTTATATCATATATATAGTTATGTATAATTATATTTTATTCTTTCTCTTATTAGGCTTCGAAGTATGGAACATATAAATATCAACCCTTATACGTAATGTTTGGTCTAATTACAGATTTGATCATTGATATCAATTTATAATTAACGAGTCAGTTTTCACTATAAATGGATTTTGAGTAGTTAATTGCAACAGTAGTCAATTATATTTATTAAGGTTATTTTAAAAAAAATATATATGTTTCTCTTGTAATCTTTGACTCTCATCTGTCCGCAAGCAGCCTACAATCAAAAACACATCTCTTGCAAAAAGCTGTCTAATGGCCTTTTGTTCTTTGGCTCATTTCGGTATTTCCCACGTTTTACTTATGTTCGAATGCTTACATTACCTGATTTGATGTGTTGTTTTTGTCATTCACGTGTTAATGCACATGTCTATTCTCCAATCACACACTATTGTTTAATAATAAAAAAATAATATGTTGCTATATTTTTTCTGTATTTTCGAGATATATCGACTGTCATGTAAATTTACAATTCGAAGGAAACGTTTTAAGTTTGACATTTGATATGTGCCTATAAATATAATCATTTTATATATTAGTAAATTATACCCTTTGGAAAATGGAACCGTATTTAAATCAAACATATTTTAAAAATGCTTATGATATTTTTATTTAAAACTAAATTATCCTATTGAGTATTAAAAAATCTTAACAAAAAATATAAATGTAAAAAATAACAAAAAAACGGAAAACTTTTAAATGTTTATTATTTAATAAAAACAAAATTTTAAATAGAATCTGAATACAAAACAGACGAAAATAAAAAAATTTATATTTTTTCAGAATTAGAAAAAAACTAAAGAAATCAAAACAGAAACAATCTGAAAATATACACCTCGAATATTTATATGTTAATTAACGTTGTTAAGTTGATGAAAAGAAAGCCGCAACTCGCAAGGTGAAAGGAGCTGACGTCATTATTTGGCCACGTGAACACAGTACAAGTCGTATCTAATAGAATATCGACACGTGTACCAATCGGATTAACGAAACTGATAGGATCCCATCCTCTTATCTCGTCCACGAATTTAGATATATTACAGCCGGCTCCTTTCGGTTGCACCGCCACGTGTGCCTTTTGATTCTTCTGAATAAAATATTCATTTAGAAAAATGAGAAATTTGGAAGCATCCGTCTTCTCTTGTTGAACATCTCTCTCTCGAACATCGCAGAAGGTTTTTTCCTTTGGATTCTCTTGATCGAGGGCTCTTTTGATAAGTCCGTACTATCACTGTGCGATCCTCCGATTTTCCGGTAAACTAGTTTCTCGGGAAAATTTTCGGACCAAGACTATCGGAAGCATCTGTATTTGAGGTGAGCATTCCTGGTTGGGGTATTAGGGTTTTGGTCTTGGTGGAATCTTATCGTTGATTGTTTGTGCTGTTTGGTTTCCCGGAGACTTTAAGGAAGTCGATCAATTCTGTGTCTTCGTTTTGCGTTTATGAGAGAGAAGAAGCAGTATATGAAAAAAATGCTCAAATCTGGTTATTCGTTATTGCATTTAGCATTTCTGCGCTAAAAGAGAGGGTTTCTTTCCGGTCGTTTTCGCTTGTAGACAGTAGTTAAAATTCTACTTCATCCTGAATTCTGTGTTCATTCACTTATCATAGTATTGAATGGCAGAAAAACGATGAATTCGTTATCAAACTAATATTTTTCTTCAGGTTTTAGTACTATATGATGATGTGAGATCATATACCTTTGCTAGGAATGAGAGTGGAATTGGAAGATTTGGATACTGGAATTTTGATCTTGTTGAGCAAACAAAAGGAGAATTGAAATGTAGAGATGGGCCTTCATTGTTATTGGAGGGTCAACGGCAATGGAATTTGGCTGATGATCGCTCCGGGTTGTAGAGTTCAATATCCTGTAAGGGATAGGGAGAGAAGGATGTGCAGGTCTAGGATTTGGATTATATTTCTTACAGGCTTCCATGGCTTTGTTGAAATTTGCTTCGAGCTACATATGATAATTCCTAGTTGAAATGTGATACTTGTTCTTACAGCAGGACTAGGTTTACTGTTGAGTTGCTCTATTCTCATGGAGTGATACAAAGCTTATGGTTGATGACATGAATATATGTTATCTTTTCTTCTTGGAGTTTCGTCCAACAGTTTAATATTTAAATTTACTTATGTTTCTTACTCAGAACGCCTTATTGGAGTTATATACTCTAGAATAAGATGACATCAGAAAACTGTGCATGATTTTAGTGGTGGTTAGTGAACCTTTGAGGAATGTCGAACTTGTACATGTATGAGGTAAGTTGACACAGTCATTTAAATGTGCTAACTTTCTTTTGCAATCTTTTATGTGTCTTATGATATTAGAAAATCTCAATTGTTAGGCCGCTTGTAAACCCGTAGTCGGCTGTGAATAGATTGTTTAGGACTGCTATTATTTCAAGCTTTATGAGACTTGTTAACTGTTGTCAATGCATTGGTGCTTATTGTTTTCAGAATATACCTTTAGTTTCGAGTAATGTTCATATTGTTGTAAAATTTTAAGTATTATGGCTCACTGCTGTTCTCTTTGTATTTTGGAACACATTTAATTCTTGATAAGTCTACTTCGTCCTCTATTGCACATCTTCTCTCAAGTTCCGGTGATATGTAGCGCCTGATGATTCAAACTTATTGGGTGTCTCTGCATTAAATGGCCAGATATTAGATTGGTATCTCGATTGTGTATAAGCATGACTTTGTCTATGGGCTTTTAAGAAGCTACACCTAAGGTGGTGGAAAACCAATGATAAGTTTGCCGTCCTCTGTTATTCTTTTCATGTCCAATGTACTTAATGAACTACTAAAAGTTTTGATTGTGTTTACGTCCATTTTTTTTAGTATTACACGAGAAAGATAATTGTTGGTGGAGGGCGTGTTTTAGATGACCTCTACTATCTTGGTTGTGGGTAAAGAGTTTGTGTTGCCGCTCTTCTTTTCTTAGACGGTCTCACACAATAATTCTTATGGATTTTTTACCCTTAGTGAGTTGGATATCAGAAAATGATGTATGTGGCGAATTGTGCGGTTTCATACTCTGTATTGGTTTTTACTTCATGAATTTTGCTGCTATTTGAATGTGCCCCAGGCATATATATTTTTTTGTATAGTTCCCTGCTTTATGTTTCTTCTCTTTTTGGGGTAGCTAAGGCGGGTTTTCAGTTTCATGTCTGAAGTTTTCTTCTCGCTTTCCCTTTTCTCAGCTAGAAGACAATGTTTGGGGTGAATTTGGTGTGAACGATGGCGGTATAGAGCCTCATCCCGCTTACAAGTGTAGCAATCAGTTTGTAGTCCTAGTTAGTAGCTGGAAGAAACGGAGACATGATGTGATGGGTTGTGAAAGAAATAAAACAGACAGTGATATACATCTAACCGGGGCTGGTGCTATAATAGAAAGAAGTCCTTGGCCTGATGCAACCAATGGTGGATCTCTGGAATCTGGTGATACTGGATCAGGCAAAGATCTACAGAACATAACATCGAAGGATTCGAAGATGTCAGACCATGGGTTTAACTGTGGTGACATAGATATTACTGAAAACGACTTCTGTGTTCCTTCTCCGCTGTTGGGTGACAGCTCTGCTGCAACACATGATACTTTGTACAATTACCCCCTCAATCACATTTCAATGATTCCACAAACTGAAAACAATCTCAGCTTTTTCGATACCGGGTGCAATGATATGGAAAGCAATGATCTCTTCTATGGCTGGAGCGACATAGGAAATTTTGAGGATGTGGACAAGATGTTGAGGTAAGTGTTGGAAATCTTCTGTGTGGAACTCTTGAAAAGCGGGAAGTCTCTGAATTGAGGAATATGATTATGCTGAGCTTACACTTCCCTGTTTTCTGGACACTACAGGAGTTGCGATTCAGCTTTCAGTCTTGGGAGTCTTAATAATGAAGATGACTTGTGCTGGTTTTCTTCTTCTCAACCAATGGAGGAGTCTGAAGCCGCAATGAAAGATGATTTGAAATCAAGTGAATGGTTGGAAAATCGCGGAGATTTTTTACTGAAAAATGATGATTCTGTGACTTATGGCCAGACCAACCATATGGTTAAAGATGATTCTCCATCTGCTGTTGGTAAGGTTCCAGTTCTCGGTAAAGTATTAGCTGATGTGTCTGATACAAGTTTGCAAAAGAAGGATGTGTCGATACTGGATGAACAGGTTAGTTCTATAGTCCCAAATCTCATGCCAGACTGCCATATTAATAACCCCGTGTCCTTACTGATTGCATAATTGGCATATATCACAACACGTTGTAGTCGGTTAATTTCTCAGATAGAGTTTCTTATTATGTTTTCATCAATGGTGGTTGTGGTTTATTTTTTAGCTAATGTACCTTGGCTAAACAAGGGTTGTTTAGATTAATGCCTTTGAAATGCTGGGGTCTATTGATATTGCTTTCTGTTCCTTTAGTTCTTCATGTAATCTGTTTTCATTTTTGCCTTGCAGGCCGATCTAAATAAAAAGCAGACCAAACATAGGCATCATCTGGATGGGAAAAGAAATAGATACTCGGAGAATGGTATCATGTTACATCAGAGTGAAAATTCCAGGAAAATAGTTGACACAAGACATAAATATCAAATCTCAACCTCTCACTATTACCCTCGCCCAGAGTTCCAGCAGTCAGGTGTTACATACTCACATTTAAACTATGATCAGCCTTCAGATCAATTATCATTATGTCAAAGTAAATCTGGTGTCAAACCTGAGAACAATTCCAATGAGTCCTATGCATCGAACCAGGCACAATCCCTCGAGAGCTTACATGGTCCTACTGCTGATGCTCCAGGCATGTTTGCTTTTGAGAAGAGAGGAAAGTTGCAGCAGGGTCGAGATTCACATCCTTCTGTTGCTGCAAATGTCAGGTACGGCAATAAGCCAAAGATGGCGGCACTTTCTGAGTCTTCACCTGTTCAAAAGATTGGACGGAAGAATGAGGACAAGAAAGATGCTGCCAAATTGGATTCATCAAATGTGCATGAGAGTTCTTGTGTTAGCTCTGTTATGGAGGACATTTCACTGGAAGCAATAAGTTTCCGCCAGCTCCAACGAGTGATAGAACAGGTACATCGATTGCTAATATTGGAAATATATTCGTTTTTTATTTGATGATTCTGATTCTTGGCAATTTGCATGAACCAAAGTATGCTATTCTACTCGAGTAAAGCCTCTTTTGTGTATGTTATGCCTATATATGTGTGTGTATATATGTGTATGCATTGACTTGGTTTGTTTGACATGCTTGCTCCAGTTGGATATAAGGACAAAATTGTGCATACGAGACAGCCTTTACCGATTGGCGAAAAGTGCAGAGCAAAGACATAATTGTATGAATCCAGATGGTGGAAACAGACAGGAGAATGACTCAGGGTCGCATCTGGTGACGGGGGAAACAGAGAAGTAAGCACCCATTGCACGCTCTCATGTTCTCTTTGCTCTTTCTTGTCCTTCTCTGTTTGCACTTGTCATTGATTTTTCAAAACTAAATTACGAATGTCCAAATCGAGTGTTGGGGAAATCTCGCATTGAGTTTAACAAATTCTTCTTAGACGTGCAATGTAATCTTATTATCTCTGTCTAAGCATCTTTTGACATTTAGTATTTGGTCTCATTCAGGTATGCTGGCTTCATGGACATGGAAACTGATACGAATCCTACAGACCGGTCAATAGCTCACCTGCTGTTTCACAGGCCGTTGGACTCATCTCTTGTCTCAGAGAACGAAGTTCTCTCGTACAAATGTCATCCAATGGTAAGTAAATTAATCAACTTTTCACCGGCAAACCATGCTTTCTTCCCGTTTGTGGTGCAAAATTTTCAATTTGGGATTAACAGATTCCTCAGCCCAATTCAAGTCCAAGTCTGAGGATGGAGGAACAAGAGGAAACACCGACAGAAACACAAGTTGTCAGAGACGACAAAAAACGAGGTGAATAAATGGGTTTCACTGATGTAGCATTTGATACAAATATTCAACTTTTAACAAGGGAGACAGCAGGGTTTTAACAAAATCCACCTTTCTCTTGAAGATTTTCGGGTCACACCTGATTTATACTTTGTTATATATTCCGCTTCTGACCAGGGAGATAACAGTACTCGTTGGTCATAGAAGCCGACATATTTTTGTAGTTCAAGGGGTTTACTGTTATGTAATAATACAGTTTCTGCAAGTCTCTTGTGGTTTTTTGTTCCGTAAGCTCTGGAATGACCGTTCATTTCAAGCTCAGTCTACTTCAAAAGGGAAACTCGGACCTCCACTTCAGTATCAGAAACTCAGAAATCATGTAATGGTATGTATAGAATCTCTTTTTTCTTAAAAGGTTTTTTTTTTTTTTTGTTGTAAATATAGGAATAGGAAGATAAAAGTGACCCAGATAAATGCAATGGAACTCTGACTCTTCCAAGGCTAAGGTATATATCAAAAGGTACGGAACTACAAATTTGATACAACAACTACTAGATGAAGAAGAAACAACACTAATGATAATGGGGTTTAATCGAAATGTTGACGAAGTTGCATTTCGGTTTCGCTCTTCCAAGTAGCGTGTGACGATTGACCTCTCATTCTCTTGCTCTTCTCCTTGTCTTTGATGGCTGATCCTTTCTTCTTTGCTTCTGGTTCAGGCAGTGGTCGATCCCCGCACACCGGACATACCATTCCTCTTCCGCTTGAATACGTTTTCGGAATCCCGCACTGCGTGCACATTCTGCAAATGTAACAGAAAAAAACGAGAGCTCAGTGCCATTTCCAGCGGAAGACAAGGGTATCCTGTCAATGACTCTATTAGCTACTCGGAATTTCCTTTGAAATGAATGAGACCATAAAAGGGTATCCGAGGGTTCGACTTCCGGTAATCCTTCATGCCAATGTAAAAGGGCATTCATAAAGCTTTTTCCTTGCAAAATGGCATGAAGTTTTCGACCGCACCTTGGTTGTAAAAAGCGCGAGGCGCACTGAGGCGGTAAAGGGTCTTAAAATCCGAGGCGTGAGGCGCGAGGCGAGGCGCGCGCCTCTCGTGC